ACACACACACACACACACACACACACACACACACACACACACACACAAAAAAAACAGTAACAATGAGGTTAGTTCTCTTATGTTAACCAATTGCTTTCTATATGCTTATAAAAGATCTACAGGGCTAGGCATTAGTGGCACACAGCTTTAACCCTAGCATTTGGGAGGCAGAGGCAAGTCGATTTCTGTGAGTTTGAGGCCAACCCGGCCTACACAGTGAGTTTTAGGATAGCCAGGACTGCAGAGAGAAACCCTGTCTGGAAAAAAAAAAAGAAACTAACAAAAAAGGTCTCCGCGTATTTATGAGTTTATGTGTGTACATGGGCTGTTGAAAATGAAGCTGTACCACTCAGACACAATTTGCACAACAGTTTCCTAAAAGTGGCAGAACCAGCATATTTTAAACCTTTTAAAGTAAACTTTCATACAAAAAAAAGGCCTGTTAAAGAATCATGTTTCTACTTATCAAATCAGAGTCATAAGTAAGGTCTGGCTTTGCTTGCAATCTCCTACTTCACATGCTAAAAACTACTTTACTAGGGGTTGGAGACATGGCTCAGCAGTTAAGAGTACTGGCTGCTCTTTCAGAAGATCCAGGTTCAATTCCCAGCACTGAAATGGCAGCTCACAACTGTGTGTAACTTCAGTTCCAGGAGATACAACATTTTCACACAAACATATATATAGGAAAAACACCAAGGCACATGAAATAACAAATATTACTTTACAAGTGGATGAAGGGATGGCTCAGCAGTTAAGAGCACTGGCTGCTCTTGCAGAGAACCAAGTTCAATTCCCAGTATCCACAGGGCAGCTCAAAATGACCTTTAACTCCAGGTCTAGGGGTCCTATGCCCTCTTTTGGCTTCCATAGTCCAGGCATACATTTGCAAAGACTTAAATGCAGGCAAACAGACATAAACATAAAATTTTAAAAATTAAAATTCCTTTGCTACTATAAAGTAGCAAGTAGTGTATATACATGCGTAGGTGCACGTGTGGACATGTATGTGGAAGCCAGAGGTTGATGCCAAGTGTCATTTCCTCTACTGCGCTCTACTATAGTTTTTGAAACAGGGTCTCAGAACAAAGGACTCACTATTTTGGCTGGGTTGGATGGCTTTCTAGCCCCCAAGATCTTCCGATCTATTCGCACACTTGCACAGAAAGCACTCTGCCAACTCAACCATCCCCCAGCCCCACATCTGGGCTGTAATCTGGACCGCCGATACATGCGTACTGTGCAGCTGGTCTGGTTTCCAGTTCCTCTCTCTACATGGATATCCAGCTATCTCAGAACACCTTAAATTCCTGTCTTGTGGTGTAGTAAATAGAAAATAAACAGTAATTGAACTGAGATTTTTTAGGTTTCAAGTTAGGTTGTGTCACTGGGAGCTTATTTCTCCCACCAAATTAAGATAAAGTATAACTTAAATCGTGTGGATACTTAAATTAGTTGGGCATCATTTGGAAAGAAAGGAGGAAGTAGGACGCCACAATGGGTTAGCATGGAGAAGAAACCTCATAGGCCAAAAGTATGGACTCCAGTTATGGTATGGAAGGGTCCAGATGAAGAATATAAGCAAGTACCACGGGATTATGGATGAAGGGTAGACTAGATGTGGAGGCTTAAGGTGGATGGCATTGGATGGGGGCTAAGAGATGGATGGTGAAGATACTGAGACAGTATAAGAAAAATATCTGCCCAGTCCAAAGCAAATAAGGCAATTCTGAATTTAATAGTTGTCTGTGTCTTATTATTTGTGACAGCAGGTTAAATAATACCACTGTGATAATCACAACAAATAAAAACAATATATAGCTCAACAGCCATTTTTCTAAAAATTTACTACAGCAGTCTTGCTCCAAGATTTCCATGTTAATTTCCAGACTGCAGATATCCCCTTGGTGATGATAGCTAGAAAGGGGTGTTCTGGTTTTGATGATCAAGAACCACATAATTGGGCTGGAGAGATGGCTCGGGCTCAGAGGTTAAACACTTGTTGCTCTTTCAGAGGACCCAGTTTAGGCTCCTAGCACCCACATGAAGTATCACAACCACCTGGAATTGCAATTCCAGAGGATCTGATATCCTCTTCTGCACTCCCAAGGGCACCAGACACACACAGTACAAAAAAACCACTCAACAACTAAATCTTCAAACAAAACCAGCAAGAACTGCAAACACACAAAAATTTCACATCTTAAATAAGTCTGCTATTTTGGGTCCATGCAATACATGTAGTCTGTGTTGGAAACTACCCTTGCTATATTTTGCCAGTTCTTACAATAAAGGGTCTGTGAAGGTAGTCTTATAGCTTACTTGATGGGATCTAGAATCACTATGGAAATATACCTCTAGCTCTATATCTACAGGGGTTCTAGAAAGGTTTCTTTCTTTATTTTTTTAATTTCTAGATCAATCATTATCTTGGACCCCGACCCCTCTCCTGGAGAGTCTCTCTCTCTCTCTCTCTCTCTCTCTCACACACACACACACACACACACACACACACACACACACACACACACAC